ATTTCAAAAATAAAAAAATCATAAAGCCAGGCATAGAGCAGATGGATCTCTGGGAGTTTGAGGCCAGCCTAGTCTACATAATGAATTCCAGGACAGCCATAGCTACATAGTGAGACCCTGTCTAGAAATAAACAAATCATTGTTCTTAAAAAGAACACTTGGTGAACTGATAGCTGGGGAACCTGCACAGGACCAAACTAGGCCCTCTGAATGTGGGTGACAGTTCTGTGGCTTGGGCAGCCTGTGGGGCCACTGGCAGTGGGACCAGGATTTATCCCTAGTGAATGAACTGACTTTTTGGAGGCCATTTTCTACAGAGGGATACTTTGCTCAGCCTCCATACAGAGGGGAGGGGCTTGGTCCTGCCTCAACTTGATATGCCAGACTTTATTGACTCCCCATGGGGAGGCCTTACCCTTACTGAGGAGTGGAAGGGGGTGAGGGGTGAGGAGGGAAGTGGGTGGAGGGGAGGGAGGGAGAACTGTGGTTGGTATATAAAATGAAAAAAACCTTTTAAATAAATAAAAATTAAAAAAAGAGTACTTAGTACTCTTTCAGAAGTCTCAAGTTCAATGCCCAGCATCCACATAGCAGCACACAATGGTCTGTAACTCTAGTTCTAGGGTATCCAATGCCCTCTGCAGGTACCAGGCACACACATGTGTTGCTTTGCCTGCCTAAGGTCTAATAAAAAGCTGAACAGTGAATAGCTAGGCAGAAGAGTGACAGGCAGGGCTTGTGGGAAGAAAGGATAAGTAGGAGGAGGAATCAGAAAAAGAGAGAGAGAGACAGAGACAGAGACACAGAGAGAGACAGAGACACAGAGAGAGTGACACAGAGAGAGACAGAGAGACAGAGAGAGGGAGGAGGGGGAGGAGGAGGAGAATGAGGGAGAAAGAAAGGGAGACACTTGGGGCCAGACAGAAAGACAGCGGCCAGACAGACAGACACAGAGTGGGACATACAGAATGAAAGATCTTCATAATACTAAAGAAACAGGTTCTAATGCCAGTGAAGGAATGGACTTGCCAGCAAGAGTAAGAGTACACAGGCAAAGAGAGTAAGCATCCTTCTTCCATGTCCTTTATATAGACTGCCACCAGAAGGTGTGGCCCAGATTAAAGGTGTATCTCCCAGTAGTTGTTCAGTCCAGGAGGCTGGATTTTTGGGCTTTCTGTTGATCGACAACCACTGTTGGACTAGCTAGACTAGAGTTTGTAGGCCACACTAATGAATCATCTTTCTATATCTATATATAGATTGTATCAGTTCTGTTCCTCTAGAGCAGTGGTTCTCAAAATGTGAGTTGTGACCCCTTTGGAGGCTGAATGACCCTTTCACAAGGGTGACCTAAAACCATCAGAAAACACAGATATTTACATTATAATTCATAACATTTGCAAAATTACAGTTATGAAGTAGCAACAAAAATAATTTTATGGTTAGGGTCACCACAACATAAGTACTGTATTAAGTGGTCACAGCATTAGAAGGTTAAGAACCACTGCTCTAGAGAACTCTACCTAACTTATACATCTGGTAAAGTCCTAGCTACTAATCAGGGACTAATGGGAAGGACAGACAGGGAAAGATGACTTACAATTTCTTATTTTTTAAACTCCCACATTATTTTATGTCAAATATTTCTAACTATATATATATTATTTAGATTATATTAGAATTATTCATGTATGTAATGCATGTATTGAAATCTAAGTGGACTCAGATTGATACATAATAGCAAGAGACGTTAAAAATAAAAATGTAGAAAAGAATAGTATTTTATGAACACAAGTGTTTAATAGAAAATATGAAAAGAAAGACTTTCTAACTTGAATGAAGGTGATATTTGCTAGATTGTATTTCTTTTCTATGAGAAATTAGTAACACATCTGTGAAGACCAGAAAACCTTGGGTGGTCTTCCTCAGGAACCATCTACTTGTTTTTTAAATGAGGCCTCTTACTGACCCCAAACTCACCACATAGCCTAAAGTGGCTTCCCATCAAGCCCCAGGGACCTTTCTGTCCCCACCTCTCCAACACTGGAATACAAGAATAACTTAAATATAAGTTGCCCACTTATATACAGATGATAAATGGCTGAGAAAGAAATCAGAGAAACAGAGAAACCCACCCTTTACAATAGCCACAAACAACATAAAATATCTTGGGGTAACTCTAACCAAACAAGTGAAAGACCTGTATGACAAGAACTTTAAGTCTTTGAAGAAAGAAACTGAAGAAGATATAAAAAAGTGGAAAGATCTCCCATGCTCTTAGATAGGTAGGATTAACACAGTAAAAATCTTACTAAAAGCAATCTACAGATTCAATGCAATCCCCATCAAAATCCCAGCACAAATCTTCACAGACTTGGAAAGAACAATACTTAACTTCATATGGGAAAGCAAAAAACCTAGGATAGCCAAAACAAAACAATCCTGTACAAAACAAAACACCTGTATAAAGGAACTACCTGTATAAAGGAACTACCAGAGGCATCACCATCCCTGACTTCAGGCTCTATTATAGAGCTATATAGTAAAGACCTTATCTTTTAAAAGGACCAAGAAAGTGTTACTATAACTGCATCATAAATGCAAGGGCATTTATAACTTTCCATTATAAATAGTCTTTAGACCATGCACAAACATAAATCCAGACACACTGAAACTATTAGAAGAGAAAATGGGAGGCACCCTTGAATGAATTGGTACAGGAGATCACTTCCTGAACATAACACCAGTAGTACAGACACTGAGATGGACAATTAATAAATGGGACCTCCTAAAACTGGGAAGCTTCTGTAAGGCAAAGGACACAGATAACAAGACAAAATGGCAGCCCACAGAATGGGACAAGATCTTCACCAATCCCATATCTGACAGAAGGCTGATTTCTAAAATATACAAAGAGCTCAAGAAGCTAGTCACCAAAACACCAAAAAATCCAATTAAAAAGTGGGGTACAGAACTAAATAGACAATTCTCAATAGAGGAATCTAAAATGGCTGAAAGACACTTAAGAAAGTACTCAACCTCCTTAGCCACCAGGGAAATGCAAATAAAAACAACTCTGAGATACCATCTTCCACCTGTCAGAATGGCTAAAATCAAAAACACCAATGACAGTTTATGCTGGAGATGATGTGGAGAAAGGGGAAAACTCCTCCATTGCTGTTGGGAGTGCAAACTTGTACAGCCACTGTGGAAATCAGTATGGTAGTTCCTCAGGAAATGGGAATGAGTCTACCACAAGATCCAGCAATTCCAATCTTGGGCATATACCCAAAAGAAGCACATTCATACAACAAGGACATCTGTTCAACTATGTTCATAGCAGCATTATTTGTAATAGCCAGAACCTGGAAGCAATGTAGATGCCCCTCAACTGAAGAATGGATAAAGAAAATGTGGTCATTTATACAATGGAGTACTACTCAGTGGGAAAAAAAACAATGGAATCTTGAAATTTGCAGGCACATGGATGGAACTAGAAGAAACCATCCTGAGTGAAGTAACCCAGTCACAAAAAGACAAACATAGTATTTACTCATGCATATATTGATATTAGACATAGAGCAAAGGATTACCAGCCTACAATCCACATCTCCAGAGAAGCTAAGAAACGAGGACCCTAAAAGAGAGATACATGGTCCCCTGGAGATGGGGAAAGGGACAAGATCTCCTAAGTAAATTGGGATCATGGGGAGAGTGGAGGGGAGTTAGGAGAATGAGAAGGGGAGAAGAGGAGTGGGAGAGGAGGACATGTGGGACCAGGAAGATTGAGTCAGGGGAAGAATAGAGGAGAGAAAGAAAAGAGCTACTTTAATTAAGGGAGCCATTATAGGTTTAAAGAGAAATCTTCCCTAGGGAAATGTCCAGAGATCTACAAAAATCACCTCAACTAAGAATCTAAGCAATAGTGGAGAGGCTACCTTTAATGCCCTTCCCGTAAAATGAGATTGATAACTACCTTATATGCCATACTAGAGCCTATATCCAGTAGCTGATGGAAGCAGAAGCAGAGACCCACAGCTAAGCACTGAGCCGAACTCCTGGAATTCAGTTGTAGAGAGAGAGGAATGATGAGCAAAGGGGTCAAGACTAGGCTGGGGAACCCCATAGAAACAGCTGACCTGAACATGAGGAAGCTCATGGACCCTAGACTGATAGCTTGGAAACCAGCTCAGGACTGAACAAGGCCCCCTAAATGTGGGTGTCAGTTAAAAGGTCCAGGAAGGCGTTGGTGGTGCATGCCTTTAATCCCAGCACTGGGGAGGCAGAGGCAGGCAGATCTCTGTGAGTTAGAGGTCAGCCTGGTCTTCAGAGGAAGTGCCAGGATAGGCTCCAAAGCTACATAGAGAAACCCTGTCTCGAAAAACAAAAACAAAACAAAACAACAACAACAAAAAGAGGTCCAGGCAGTCTATGGGGCCTCTGGTAGTGGAATAGTATTTATCCCTAGTGTATGAATGGACTTTGGGAGCCCATTCCCCATAGAGGGATACTCTCTCAGCCTGGACACATGGGGGAGGGCCTAGGCCCTGTGACAAAATTTAACAATCCCCCATGGAAGGCCTCACCCTTCCTGGGGAGCAGAAGAGGGAAGGGATGGTGGTTGGTGGGGAGCATGGGAGGATGGGAGGGAGAGGGGACCAGGATTAATATGTAAAATAAGATTGTTTCTAATTTTTTTAAAAAAGGAAAATAGTCTTTAGAAATTACAAAATGGAGACGGTTTTCATCAGATAACACTTTTGGAATCCACCTTCCCAGGAAAAACCTGAAAAGGGCAATGGAGAGAGGCACATCACCAAAGTGCATGAGTTTCTGGGTAGAAAACTCAGCCATTCTTGTTCTTAGAGCACAGAGTTGATGCCTCAATACCAGAGAAATAAACACATAGAGTAAAACACAATTAGCAGCATGAAGTCCTCTTCTAGGAACAGTACAGAACCAAACATACATTCAGGCACAGAAATGGACAAGCAACTTACAGGATGCTTGGCTGAAAGTCTTCCTGACACAGTTCCAGTCTGATTCCACGTAGAAGAGATGGAGCCCTTGATCATTTAAGAAGAATCAGTTCATACTCAGGTAACATGGTATGAGGAAGAACACACAGACCCTTTACCTATAGCCCTTCTTGCTCCTCCTGAATATTACAAAACTGTCTTGGAATCAGAGACAGATGTTACTCTCTAACCCAAATAGAAGCAGCAATAGGACAAGTAAATCCATGTCAGTTATTAGGGCTATGTGTGGGTTAAGGGGGCTGTAGGGGCAGCATAAACTCAAAGTGGGACTATGCCACAATTCTGTTGCTTGTTGTGCAGCCTTGTAGTACACAGACACCTCTGATTGTACTTTTCTCATGTGCAAATTAAAACAGAAATGCCTACTTGTGATGGATGTTATTGGTCATCAACTTGACTATAAATCTTCAATTAACTAAAATACAAGAGGCTGGGTATACCCATGAGGGATTTTTTTTAATAATTTAAAATGGGAAGGACCCCTTTTAGTCTGGATCTTTTTGTGGATGGAAGATACACCTCTTAACTAGACCTTTGAGGTGGGAAGATCCACATTTAGTCTGGGTCACACCTTCTGCTTGCATCCTATATAAAAAACATAGAAGAAAGCTTGCTCTCTCTTTGCCTGTTTTCTCTCATTACAAATCCATTTCTTCACTGGCATCTAGATCCTACTTCTTTGGGATTCCAGCATATACTGAAGACAAACTGAGACACCAGCCTTGTGTAATGAACAACTATTGGATTCTTGGACTTTATGTTGATAGACAGCCATTGTTGGACTAGCTTGACCACAGCCTGTAATCCATTCTAATACATCCCCTTTGAGTGAGTGTGTGTGTGTGTGTGTGTGTGTGTGTGTGTGTGTGTGTGTGTGCATATGTATGTTCCTCTAGAGAATTCTGAGTGCCTCAAATGGCTCCAGAAAAAAAAATGACAGTAGATGTGAAAGCAGGCTAGCTGCTGAACTGTCTAATAATATATGGAGGATCTGAAGGCATAAAACAAACTTGCATTGTACGGACATTGAATAATATGACTACAGTCTGTAGTTCCAAGAATAAAGAACCTTTTCTCCTTTACTGGGAAAGTAAAAGTGGCATGTGTATCTGAACTCAAAAATAAACTTTATTTCTAATCCCAATTTCCTTTTGTTAAGCTTTGTTACCTTTTTCATATAAGCTAGTAATCCGTCTACAAAAGTTGACTTGATCTTGTGAACCTATATCATAAAGACAATAATCGTTATGTTCTTAAACTTGTTTAAGTACTCAAAGACACCAACTGCAGAGCAGCAGTTTACATAGGCCTAGGCATGTGGTGAGAATTCACCTTGGACAACCTTAAGTAGTGCCAGGATTAAATAACACAGGTCCACAAAGAAAGATGCCAGTCTGTCATTCTGCAATATTTCTAGGCTACAGAGAAGCTGTAAAGTTTTGCAGATTCTTGAATACTTATCTTAAGTGTCCCCAGCACTGGGCCCTTTTTAGTTCTTTCTGAACCCTTTACCAGGAGGATGGCTGGTGTGGTATGAGTATATTTCTGCAGGACCGGGGCTCAGTAAATAATAGCACTGTTGTTTGTTTTGTAAATGTGGTTAGTGGATAACAGAAATCATGAAATAAAGGGCAGGTATGTGAACAGAGAAAAAATGAATAGCTAAAAAAAAGAAAAGGAGGCATACCCATAAATTTCCAGGAAACATCACTGTCTTGGAGCCTGGAAACCAGGGAAATGACAGGACTTTTGTGAGAACTGGTAGTCTTATTCTCACTTGAAGGGACAGGGGGACAGGCCATCAGTCTCCTTTTACATATGACTCCTTAAGCAACCAGTGTTGGGCAAATTAGACTCAGTCTTGAGTAAGTTCTTCATATCATTAGGATATGAAGAAGCAGGGCTGACATGAAATTGGTTGAGAAAATTTTAGCTCTTTAGAACACCGTAAACATGCACCAGCAAATATGGGGTTGTGAATAGAGAAAAGCTTACATAGTTTCATCACAAATGGTTTACACAGCACACACACACACACACACAGAGTGAGAGAGAGAGAGAGAGAGAGAGAGAGAGAGAGAGAGAGAGAGAGAGACAGACAGACAGAGAGACAGAGAGATGAGAGAGAGAGAGAGAGAGAGAGAGAGAGAGAGAGTCAACTTACCTGTCTATATTCCAAAATTATCTTGGGTAATGGGTGAAGGTCTTGTAGAGAATTTAACTAAAAAATAAAAATATGTTTTACCAATATAATTTCTTCATTTCAACAATTCAAATGTTTACTTTCAACTGGAGAGTGTCCTAGTAATAAATGATGTAATCTAACATATTTCCCAAAATTAAGACTCATAGCAAACTCCACTCAATCCCAACCCTTTACAAAGTCATTCTGATATCTACCCAAAGCTATATTATTTCACATGAGCTGAGAACTAAGAGTCTTCTTCAGACCTTAAATTAGCAAAATCTAAATCCCACATAAAAGAATAAGTCAGGTGCCTCCAAACATAAAATCCATGCTACAGCAGCTCCCAACATTTGACTCAGAAATCTGGGTGAAACTTCAGTGAGGTGGCATAGCACTGAATCCTAAAGCTACAGTATTGAGCACACAGTACTGATCCTAATCTGTTGATATGAAGTTCAAAAAGAGGAAAAAGTAGCCTATAGTGGTAGATAGAGCTCAAGGTCTGAAAAGGAGCAGGACCTACTAGGAAACTGAGTTATTTATTTCTTGCCATAACAGCAGTTACATGGTATTGTTATAAGCTTTCTGTCTTAGTAGGTAAAACATACCTACAAACTTATCATACCAACAAAGCCACACCTCCTAACAGTGCCACTCCCTTTGGGGGGCATTTTCTTTCAAACACCACATTCCACTCCCTGGCCTCCAAATGCTTATAGCCATATCATATTGCAAAAATGCATTCAGTCCAATTTCAAAAGGCCCCATAGTCTATAATAGTCTCAAATTTATTTAAAAGTCTAAAGTTCAAAGTCTCTTCTGAGATTCTCACACTCTTTAACTGTAATCACCTTGAAAATGATAAAACAAAAAGCTGATCACATAGTTCCAACATATAATGGCACAGGATATATATTACTATTCCAAAATGTAGGGAAGGGAGCATAGTGAGGAAATACTGGACCAATGTAAGACCAAAACCAGCTAGGTAAACCCCAAGCTTTGATCTCCATGTCTGATGTTAAAGCACTCTTCAGATCTCCACCTCTTTTCAGCTTTGTTGACTGCAATACACTTCATTCTCTTGGACTGGTTCGACTCCCAGTTAGCAGCTTTCCTCAGCAGGTATCCCACGACTCTGGCATCTTTAACATCTTGGGGTTTCCAAGGCAATCTAGGCCTCAACTTCACAGCTTCATAAAACAGTCTCTCTAGGCTTCCATTCAGGGACACCCCTAACAATGCCTTGCCTCAGCTGCTTTCCTTAAGTGTGGAGGCAAATTCCATAAGCCGGTTCTTCTATCCTTAACTTTAAAGCCAGAACCATGTAGCCAAAGCTGCTAAGTTCTGCTGCTTGCTGGGGCTGTAACATAGCTCCCTCAACTACATCTTTTTTGTTGTTATTTTGTTTTGTTTTGTTTTGGTTTGGTTTTTGAGACAGGATTTCTCTGTGTAGCTTTGGAGCCTATCCTGGCACTCGCTCTGGAGACCAGGCTGGCCTCCAACTCACAGAGATTTGCCTGCCTCTGCCTCCCGAGTGCTGGGATTAAAGGCATGTGCCACCAACGCCCAACTCAGCTTTATGTTTTTGACTGTTGTTACCTTCACTGCCTAAGCTTGGATATCCTAGAACTTACTCTGTAGACCAGGCTGGCCTCAAACCCAGAGATCTTCAATTACATCTTCACCAGCTTTCTGTTTTCCATAATTTTCTTTACTGCCTAAGTTTGGTTGTCCTTGAACTTTCTCTGTAGACTAGGCTAACCTCAAACTACCAGCCTGTCTTCTGAGTGCTGAGATTAAAGGCATGTACCACCACACTTGGCTCTAAACTTTTCTTTAATTCCTTTTTACAAATTGAAAACTTAGCTGGGTGGGATCTTGCTTTGAGGTCACCACTACCTTTACTCAATTTTCTTAATCCATTTATCTCCTTAAACCCAAGACTTAGTTCCATTCTATTTCCTGGAGCTCTTTTTCTCCCCAAAATTTACATTTGGTAATTTACCTGGCTCAGCTTGCTCCTTTTCATTATAAATCTTCATTAGAGTTACCACTAATAACCACATGACAAAGTCTATACTAGGCTGTTTTGAGATATCTTCTGCCAATGGAGCTAATAAAAAAACTCTTCAGTTTAGCCTCAGGTAGACTTTGGACAAGGGCAAAAGGCAGCTACTTCCTTTACCAAAATACCACAAGAAGGATTTCTAGGCAACACACTAAAATTCTTCTCCTTTGAAACCTCTTGAGTCAGTTCAGCTCCCCACCCTACAGTTCAAATAACTCTTATCACCACTGTCTTCCATGTTCCTACTAGTATGGCCAATTAAGCAGTGCTTAATAGCATTCCACTGCTTTCCTAACCCAAACCCCCAAAGTCCATATTTCTCCAAATAAAAATGTGATCCAGCCTATCACAGAAATACCCCAGTCCATGGCACCAACTTTTTTCTCAGAGTTTCTATTGCTGTGAAGAGACACCAAGACCATGGTAACTGTTATAAAGGGAAACATTGAATTGGTGTGGCCTGCTTACAGTTCAGAGGTTCAGTCCATTATCATCATGACAGGGAGCATGGTGTTGGCTACATCTTGATCAGAAGGCAATAGGAAGTGGGCAGTGTCACTGGGCATGGCTTGAGCATATATGAACCCTCAAAGCCTGCCTCCACAGAAACTCACTTCCTCCAATAAGAACATACCTACAAACATACCATACTAACAAAGCCACACCTCCTAATAGGTGCCACTCCCTCTGGGGACCATTTTCTTTCAAACTACCACACTTTGCAACCAGGTTAACATCTAAGTAGAGCAAACCCAATGATAGTGGCTTTCCCAGGTGGCACACTGCTGGAACTTTAGTGCATACCGCCTATCTCTCCTTCATAGAGGTAAGATCTAAGACGGGGATTCCTTGACAAGACAGGACTCAGTTCCCAGGAATACCTGCTACCCCAATTCTTGGTGAAATTTGAAGCATCCTCATCAGACATTAATATTAGGCTATTTTCTTTCTTAAGATTTTATTTATTTATTATGTATACAGTTATCTGCATATATACTTGCACACCAGAAGTGGGCACCAGATCTCATTATAGCTGGTTGTGAGCCACCATGGGGTTGATGGGAATTGAACTTGGGTCCTCTGGAAGAGCAGCCAGTGCTCTTAACCTCTGAGCCATCTCTCCAGCCCCTAGGCTATTTTCATACTGAAAATAAATTGAGGATTTTGATTACATTCTATGGAATAAGCAAGTAAATAGCCAAGATAAATTTAGGTAATGGTAAGTTGTGTGTAGAAAGTAAATTAATGTCAGGCGGTGGTGGCACACATCTTTAATCCCAGGCCTCAGGTGGAAGAGTCAGGTATACCTCTGTGAGTTCAAGGCTAGCCTGGTCTAAAAAGTGAGTTTCAGGACAGCCGAGGTTACACAAAGTAACCCTGTCTCAAAGCCCCCCTCCCCAAATAATATCCTCTGACTGCAGTAAGGCCTGTAGGCAACACCACACCCAGCTAAGAGGATATTCTTAAAATGATATTTAAGCTGACAATTATAAACTATCAGGCAAAAATCTGCTATCAGTCTAGTGTCTATTGAAAAAAGTCTGTAGTGAGAACCATTGGCAGATGGTGTTTGGATAAGATGGAGTGCCACAGCTAAAAGTTAGACCCATGGACTGGGGACATAGTTTGGGGCTATGTGTGATTCTGAAAGTGATAGGAAGACATGGCAAGTGTTTTCAGGGCAGCATCACAATGTTTCTATAGGTTTAACATGTAAGTGTAGTAGTGGGACTCTGGAGAGGAGGTCTGGAGAGACGTAAGTGACAAAGGACAAAGGTGATAAAGTGAGGATGGGAGGAAGGAGGAAGACTTAGAACACATTTTGTAGGGAGATAACACAGGACTTTCTGTGAGTGAGGCTGAAAGAAGGTCAAGGATGACTCCAGATGTTACTGATCTTTTGGCAGTCTAACTTGTCAGACCAACTTTAATAACGTTAGGCGCACACAGGCATACATATTCTCACTGAAACCTTTTAAGGTCCTCATGGTGAAAATACAATATATTACTTTCTTTACAGACCTGGAAACCAAAGTGCAATTAGGTAAGATAGGCATGATGTCTAACATGAATCCTCCCCTCAATTCTGCACTGCCTATCCAGGACTGGAATGAAAAATAGGATATGAAGGAAGATAGTCACAGCAATAGAAACCCTAACTAAGACACTTGTCCTGAGATTCTTTTGATCAAGACCCTGGAGGAGCTGGCTGGTGGTGGCCCACAACGTTGATCCCAGCACTCAGGAGGCAGAGGCAGGCGGATCTCTGTAAGTTGAGGACAGCCTGGTCTACAGAGTGAGTTCCAGGACAGACTGCAAAGCAACACAGAGAAACCCTGCCTTGAAAAAACAAAACAAAACAAAACAAAAAAAGACCCTGGAAGAACATCCTCTATGGGAGATCCTTATTTTCCTAAGTCTTCCACTGAGTCTCAAGAGCTAAATGTGAGCAGTCAGCAAGTACAGGTTCCCACTGTCCTTTGATCTGAGTGCTAGCCTGGGCTGAGTGAATACAACTTTCCCTGTCACAAAGTCAAAAGCTGGATGGCACAGGAAATCCAAATCAGCACTTCAGTCACTGCAGCTGAGTATTTTCTTTTATACAGGCCCTTTCTGGAATACATAGCAGATCGGGAGTACCTGACAATTCCTCTAATCAGGATAGGGTTCCGGCTGCAATGGGGCTTCCCCTTCTTGGGCTTTTTAACCTTAGGGTCACCCTTTTTGGCTGCACCAGCGGCATCACCACCAGCCTTCTTGGCTGCTGGTTTTTTTTTCTCTTTTGTGTCAGGCTTCTCGGCTTTTTCATCCACCATCTTGCAAGATGGGAAAGAGCTTATTTGAGATTTCTCTGAGCTTCTAATATGAGTGCTAATAAGGTGTGATTTAATTTTCATTTGATTCTAGGAACTTTTGGTCTTCTTGATTTCTTCAGTTAACCACTATCCATTCCAAAGTATAGTGTACATTCTCTGTATATTTGTATAGTTTCTCATGCTATCAACTTCTTATTTTATTCTAAAATGTTGTGACATGATACAAGAAATTATTTATATTTTTTAATATTTTAAGACTTGCTTGATAGCTTAAAATGTGACTTATTTTAGAGAAAGGTCCATGAGATGCTAAGAAGAATGAGTATTCTGTTTGATGGAATGTTCTGTAGATGTCTGTTATGTCCACTTGACCTATGGTGCAAGAGTAGACTCTGAAGTTTCTTTTTGGTTTCTACTCAGGATGATTCTTCCTCTGCTGCTGAGAAACTGGGAAGATCGTTCCTCCTTTCCACCGCTTAGCCTTTCTTTTTCTCCAGACTTTCATTTGTTGTGCTCAATAGTCTTATGTCAACTTGACACACAAACTAGAGCTATTTGAAAGGAAGGAACCTTAATTGAGAAAATGCTGTCATAAGATCCGGCTGTAGGGCATTTTCTTCATTAGTGATGGATGGAGGAGGGCCCAGCCCATTGTAAGAGGTTCTATCCCTGGGCAGATGGTCCTAGGTTCTGTAAGAAAGCAGGCTAAACAAGCTATGGGGAACAAGCCAGTAAGCACCCATCCATGGCCTCTGTGTCAGATCCTGCCTAAAGTTCCCTTCCCTGTTTGAGTTCATGTTCTGACTCCCTTCTATAATAAACATCAATATGAAAGTATAAACCAAATAAAGCCTTTGAAAAGAAGAAGAAAAAGGAGAAGGTCCTTGCTACTGTCACTAAACCGGTTGGGGGTGACAAGAGTGGTGGTACCGGGTGGTTAAGTTTCCAAAAATGCCCAGGTGTTACCCTACTGAAGATGTTCCTCGGAAGCTGCTGAGCTATGGCAAGAAGCCCTTCAGTCAGCATGTGAGGAAGCTGTGTGCCAGCATCACTCCGGGGACTGTCCTGATCATCCTCACGGGGCGCCACAGGGGCAAGAGGGTGGTTTCCCTGAAGCAGCTGGGCAGTGGCTTACTACTTGTGACAGGACCTCTTGCCCTCAACAGAGTTCCTCTGTGAAGAACACACCAGAAATTTGTCATTGCCACCTTTACAAAAGTTGATATCAGCAAGGTTAAAATCCCCAAACACCTGACTGATGCTTACTTTAAGAAGAAGCAACTGCTCAAGTCCAGGCACCAGGAGGGTGAGATCTTCGACACAGAGAAGGAGAAATAGATTACAGAGCAGAGCAAGGCCAATCAGAAAACTGTGGTCTCACAGCTTTTGCCAAAAATCAAAGCTGTTCCTCAGCTCCAGGGCTACCTGAGATCTCAGTTCTCTCTGACAAACGGGATGTATCCTCACAAACTGTTTTTTTAAATTGCTATCGACCTAATTAAACAGCTTCATATGTAAAAAAAAAAAAAGAAATCTCAAATAAATCATTTATTAATGTATTTCAATGTGGATTAAATAAGGACCAGTCAAGTACCAAAGCAAAAGATGAAAAGAAATATAAAATGAAAGGGGAGCTAAAAGAAAAATATGGAATATCATCAAACTAGTTGGTTTAAAAAATAAACAAGATTGACAGATCCTTAGCCAAACTGGTCAAAAGAAATGAAAATTAGAACATGAAAAGGGAGAATTTCTGTAAGTTCCAGAGGATCATTAGGGAATAATTTGAAAACTTATATCCCCAAACACTGGAAACTCTAAAAGTAGGGGATAAATTCCTAAATACATACAACCTACCCAAACAAACCCAAAATGATATAAACACACAGACCCATAACAAGCAATAAGATTGAAACAGTAATATAGAATCTCCCATCCAAGAAAAACTTAAGAAGGAAGAGTGGCTGGAGAGATGGTTTAATGGATAAGAGTGCTTCCTGTACAAGTACAAAGAACTAAAGTCAAATTCCCAGCATCCACATAAAAAGACAGACATGGCTGTGTGTGCCTATAATCCCAGCATTGGGGGCAGAGACAGGTGGATCCTGGGAGCTCTCTGGCCAGCCAGCCTAGCAGAAATGGTGAACTTCCTGGTTTAGTAAGAAAACCTGTCTCAACATACTAAGTTCAAGAATTATAGAGAAAGGCACTTGAGGTTTTCTTCTGGCCCATATATGTGCACACATGGCACACATTTTCACATTGGCATGTATGCACTCTGTAATACATACCGCACATATAAAGGAAAAAAAATAGAAAAGTTCAAAGTAGATTGAACTCACTGTAGAATTTTTCCAAACCTTTAAAGAAGAGTTAACCAATGCTTCTCAATTTGTTCTATAAATGAGAAATGGAACAAATACTACAAAATTCATTTTGTGAAACTAGTATTACTTTGATACTGAAACCAGAGTAAGAGCATAGCAAAAACAACAATAAAATCTGTCGGGGCCCAAATATATCAGTTATGATATTTTGGGTCCAAACCTCAGCTCAATCACAGGAGCTCGAAGCTCCCATTGTTTTCTAGATGCCGGCTGATTACCTCCGGATGCCTGGCCTTGGTGGGGAAGGGTTCATAGTTTGTATTACAATACACCTAGCCCCCTGGGTGGACACACACCCATCATGGGGCTGGTGGAACGTGCCCTTGTAGAATGTCTGAAGGCTTGTTTACATGCCTAGGGGCTGGTGAGGACTGCAGTTTTAGGGATGTCTCTAGGATTAAAGGAAATATTTGATATCAGCTTTCTACATAGATGTCTTCTGCTATCACCCCCACTGTTGGAAAGCTATTTAAAGAGGATACTTGAATAAATGTGGACTCCAGTGTTGTTAGACCCCCGGAAAAACTCAGGTATCCGGGGTCACCCCAATCACCAGGCAGATTTGAGACCTTGATGCAAACTGCATGAGGCTTTATTGTAATTTAACGAGCTAACCCCATGTTAGCTCGGGTCTTTTGTCTACCCACCATGGTGGATGGCTACAAAAAGACAGTTTGAACCGGCTGCCAAGAGATCTTGTAGGGCAGCGTAAGGGGAGTGTCTAGGGGTACGCACAGGCTCAGGATTGGTGTGCCTCCAGGATTGGAGGGCTTGCCCTGTGTTGATTGGCCAACTGGTTGTTATGGCCCATAGGCCCTCCCAGGGTGGTTGCTATGCTCCAAGCGTCATTGCTGTGCACTTGTCCGTAAAACACTGGAGCGTAGCGCCACCAGCTAACTTCTGATTGGTTCCTTGCCACAAGGCAGGGATCTGACTTTCTAGTGACTAGGACAAGGTCACAGCGAGCACGTGTTACTGTCTTGGCTGCCAAAATGGGGGCTGGTCCCTTCAGTGTGAACTGAGAGCCCTCCTGAGATGGCAAGATGTCTCTGTCTTGTCCTTAATGCCACTGAGTAGCTAGGAGTTTCCTCGATCTACACTCCCCCACAGGGCTGGACCCGGGCTGTTCAGTTGGTCCCGAGTGCAGCCCCAAAGACATCAGTCCGGAAGAGATGGCCTCTGTAGCGCGACACTGATACAGACTGGACCCCAACAAAAACCACAAACAGACTTCCTAATGAACAGCACAAAAATTCCATAAAATATTTGCAAACCAAGTTTAATAACACATTGAAATATCATGCTCCATGATCAAGTTGGCTTCATTTTAGGGATACAAAGATCTTACAATATAACAAATAAAAATCATATGGTTATGTCAATAGATACAGAAAGGGTCTTTGATAAGGCTCAAGATCTATGTATGATAAAAGCTCTCAATAAACTAGGAACAGAAGAAGCATACCTCAATATAATAAAGGTCATGTATGAAAAAACCTACAGCTAACATTACACTAAAATCAGAGCAAGATAAAGGTGTCTATTATCACAACTCTTCATCAGTATAGTGCCTAGAGTCTTTCTTAGATTATTATGAGAAAAAGGAAAAAGAAAATGAGACAAACAGAAACAGAAAAAGTCAAATTTTGCCATGTGACTACTTGTCTTCTATTTGGCTGCTTGCTGACATCCATGCCTAACTCAAAAGGTCAGGTTTTCTTCCTTTTCTCTGTCTTCTTCCTTCTGATAGCTTCTGAGACTTCTAGCTTATCTTCTAAACACTAAAAAATTGCTTGAACTAAAAAACAGCAACAAAAAAACAACAAAACAACAAAAAGGTGGGCCAAGAGATACCTGAATGGATGAAAGAACTTATTACACAAGCCTAACAATCTGAGTTAGAGCCACAGGAGCTACATAGAAAGTCAGATTCAGAAACTAGAGTAATGCCTCAGTGTCTAAGAGTGATCGATACTCTTACAAAGGGACTCAAGCTCAGTTCCTAGCACCCACATTGAATGGTTCACAATTGCTTGAAACTTCAGTTCCATTGGATCCAACTTTCTATCCAGGCCTCCACATGGATACCTACAGTCATATGCACAGACACACAAATATGTGATCTCCACACACTTTGTGGCATGTGCCATACTAGAGTAGGTAAAACTACACACACACACACACACACACACACACACACACACACACACACACACACACACTGCACAAAATTATCCTTTGCCAGAAATATAGCCAGCCAGATGTTCCTGGAGAGCAGCTCCCTGGCCATCTCCTGGAACACAGCCAGGAGTATAACCTTGAGTGGAAACACCTTGTCTACAGGATCTGTTGACAGCACAGAAGGAATCTTGTACCTGGTGCAGATGCATGAGCATCTCAGAAAGATAAGGAAGCTAGACACTTACCATGGCCTCTGATGTGGACAACTGTTTCTGCAGCCCAGTTCTGGGAAAATGCTTCCTCTGACTCAGCAAGTGCAGCTTCAGTTTTCCAAAGAGGATCTTCAACAAAAGCAATGCACATGTGTGAGAAAGATCCAGATTTGAGAAAATGAACATAACCTGATGGAGGACTGTGTATATGTTTGTCTTATTGGTTGATAAATAAACTACTGTTGGCCAATAGGGAATCAAGTTAGGTGGGACTAGAAGTTGAGGAGGATTCTGGGAAATATAGTAAAAAGAAGTCTTGTGATCCAGGCAGGAAGTGACATAGCAGGCAGACTCAGAATATAAGCAGGGATAATATAATATAAGCAGGAAGTCTCTCTTATCCTCTTCTTCCTGCTCTCTTCTCTGGAGCCGCCATCTGAATGACAAGAGAGGATGCATGCCTCCAGCATCCTCGATCAGGGAAGTCTTTATAAAATATATAGATTAGTAATTATGGTTTATAATTAAGACTGAACTAGCAAGTAAGAAACCCTAGTCATTGGCCAGCAGCATTGTAATTAATATAAGACTCTGTGTGTTATTTTAGGCACCCACGTGGCAGCGGGGCTCGGGCAGCTTGGCGGAAAGATTTATCATTACAATAACTATCACAACTACAGCCACTGACCTGAAGACATACATTGAAAAGATAGTAAAAGAGGTTTAGTTCCTCATTCATAAGGTCTTTGACTTAATGTATCTCAAAAATTTCTTTACTTATGAGAACATGAAAAACATACCACTTTCAGACAATATTGTAAATTTAAAATAAACCATCTTTTTAATTCTTAAGCAAGACAATTTTTTGAAAGGACAAAACTTAACATTACTAGCCAGATATGGTGGCCTTTGGCTGTAATCTCAGTACTCTGAAAGATGAGGCAGGAAGACTGTCATGGGTGCGAGTAAGCATACAGCCTGGGTTACTGACTGAGTTCTAGGCAAGTCTGGGCTACATAATGAGACCCAGTCTCAAACAAAACAAATGAAATTGAGCCTTACTTCACGAAGCTGATTATTACTCATTATAAGAAACTGTTCTCCTGCAACAAAATGGGCTTCTTGCTCCAGTTCTTTGAGGCGAGCCTGAAAAAGTGAAATATTATCATTCATAGATTTTATGATTTAAAATAATTTAACGTGTTCATCAAGCAACTTTCAACAAAAGCCCTTAATGGAATAAGAAGTCATCTATAACTTATCAAAATGAACATTTAAAAGCATACATATTGACTTGCTGTGGAATTTTCAGGCTTATAAACCACTTTTCCCTAAACATAGCTGAAATTTAAAGAAACAAAAGTACACAAAAATGAGAAAGGAAAAGAATGTGTTTTTTAGCAATTTTAGAACTAGGAAAGGGATCCAGTTCAATAAGAAAGAAGATAAAAATGTGGAGGTATAGGTTACAGGCTTATGCCTACAATAGGTCAAGATGTTCTTTAAGTCAGTAAGAAGAAATATAAACATGAGTAAAAAATGTAGACAAAGAGATGGCAGTAAGTAAAACCACAAGCCTGATAACCTGAGCTTCACCCCTGGGACTCACATGGTGGAAGGAGAATTGACTCCCCAAAATTGTCCTCTGACTTCTATACTTCTATACTCTCTCTCTCTCTCTCTCTCTCTCTCTCTCTCTCTCTCTCTCTCTCTCTAAAAAACACTTTAGAGACTTGGGCAGATTGTTTTTTTTTAAGATTTTGTTTATTTATTATATATACAGTCTTCTGCCCACATACCTGCAGAGGGTACCAGATCTCATTCAAGGTGGTTGTGAGCTACCATGTGGTTGCCAGGAATTGAACTCAGGATCTCTGGAAGAGCAATCAGTGCTCTTAAGTGCTGAGCTATCTCTCCAGCCCAGGGCAGATTGTTTTTAAACAGAAATGAATAGATAGAAAATGATGATAGAAAAGCAATTCACTTCATCAGCAATCAGGAAAACAGACCAAAGTCATGCATGGTTTATCATAGTTGCAACCTTCAAACAACCAGACACCACTTGACTGAGACAGATGTCACCCATGGCAGAGCATACAAACTGAGTGATAGCATTGATGCTAAGATGCAGAAGATTGAGAGGCTGTATACAAACTATTGATTTATTCACAGTTCAATAATAAGCTAAACTATGTTGTTTAGACATTGAAATAGAGAAAACATGAAGAATAACAAGAATTAAATGTCTTCCAAGGCAGGACACTTTTGGAAGTAGAATAGTTTCTGCCAGGAAAAGCACATAAGGCTGTGGATATCCCATGCTTTGGCCTGGGTAATGGATACTAGAGTTAACTTTTGGGCAATTTAGATGGAATTAATATTTTCATACATCTTTAAGTATCTTTCCATATTTTTCATTCTTTAGGAAATTTACCAATTCCTTGAATGAACTGTAGGGAGCAAATGTCCACATAAGAAAAATAGTCTAACTTAGTCCAGCCTTTGATGGCAAATTGTGGAATATTTTACCTTGAATCAGGGGCAGAGCCAGTGACTAGATGGCCAGAATTAGCCATAGAGAAGCCAGCAATTTTTGAAAATCATTTAGAGTTCATAATTGATCTCTCCTGATTAGTACTTTCTATGGTTGAATTTCTGTAAACCTATCTTATATCCTAAATAATTAATAGAATCTCCTCTTTGCATTTTTTTTCAGGAGCAATTTGTAAATCCCCAACAAGGCAAAACTCTCTTTACATCATCAAATATTTTTTCTAAAGTATCTGAATCTGAATTAGCCAGTAAGATATCATTCATATAATGGTAAATTATAGATTGAGGAAATTTTATAAATTAGTTGAAATGGCTATTGTACAAACTATTGATAGATATAAGGTTTATATTACTTAACATTCCTTGTGGAATAATTTTCTAATGGTACTTTTGAACAGGCTGAGAATTAGTATAAGTAGGTACTGTGAAGCCAAAATTTTCTCTATCCCGAGTTCTTGTAAAGGCATAGTAAAAAAAAAAGATATATAATATAGATATAATAGACCATCTCTTAGGTAATTAAGGCAGCAAGGGACTCCTAGGCTTTAAAGATCCCATTGGCTGATTTAAATTATTTATGACTCTTAAATCTGTTAACATTCTCCATTTTCCAGATTTATTTTTAATGACAAATATAGGAGAATTCCAAGGACTGGTCGATTCTTCAATATGTTGAATATCTAGATGCTCCTGAACCAGCTGTTATAATGCCTATAATTTGTCTAATTTCAAAGGCCATTGTTCCATCCACACAGGTTTGTCAGTTAACCATTTTAAAGGTAGGGACACTGGTACCTTTGAAAGACAACAGCTGTTGTGCTCTGCTTATTTATAATTTGAACAGTCTGTGACTGTTCTTAATAATACCTTTTTAATATTCCTCTCAGAAGCATTCTTTATTTTATGGCTTATTTCTGAGATTGGATGAATATTAATCTATATTTTCCATTGTTGCAACAAATCATGTCTCCACAAATTCATTGTATATTAGACACATATAGTTTTAATTTTCCTATCTGTCTTTCTTGTCCTATACACCCAACCCATCTTGTACTTTGTTTTACCTGAGATAAAGTTCCAATCCCTAGAAGCTGAGCATTTACCTCCTGAAGAGGACAATTTGGGTGCCAAGATTTTGGTGAAATTATTGTCACATCTGCACCTGTGTCTATAAAACCCTCAATTTCAATGCCATTTATTTGTATTTTTAGCTTTGGTCAATGATCATTTATAGCAGTTTGCCAAAATATGAGTTTTCTAGTCACATCCATCGAAGTGTGGTTTTTATATTAAATCTTTTAATTGCTCTGGGGATGAGTTTCGATGATGCTGACGAGAATGATTGAATCAAATCTGGTAGTAGGGCCTGTGGGAGGTTCCTCAGTGTTTTTCCCAAAGGCAAAGGGTTACCTTGCCTGTCCCTTGTTGATCTGCATTCATCAGTCCAATGCCGACTTTGTTATACATTCTGTAAAATCCAGAAGGCTGGGGCCTTCTGTTTGTATTATCTCTACAGAAAAAACAAACAAACAAACAAACAAAAAAACCAAAAAAAAACCCAACAACCCCCCCCCAAAAAAAAACCAAAACCACTGTTTCTAGGAATACCTTACCTACAATACCTTTTCAAATGATCTTGTTTACCACAATTAAAAAATCTGACATTTTGATTTTTCTTGAATTTCTCCTATCCAAGTATCATTGTAAGTATGAGATCCATTATCAGCTATATTTTGGGTCCATTCATCTTTGGGTACTGATCTTGCCTTTAAGAGCCTAATAACCTTTTTGCATTGTGAATTAGCATTTTCAAAAGCCAAAGATTCAATTAATATTTGCCTAACTTCTGGATTTGATATCATTCTATTTACTGCTGAAGTCTATCTGTGTAAAAAAAAAATCAGTGAAGGCTTCCTTTGGACCTTGCATAATTTTAGTAAATGACTCAGTTCCCTTTCTGGATTCTTCAACCCTGTCCCAAGGTTTCAAAGCTGCTATATGGCATATAGCCAAGGTGTGATCATCAAATGTAATCTGATTTTGCAAATCAGTGTACTGGCATTTATTGAGAAGCTGGTCTTGGGAAATTTCATACCTCAACCCCTACTTCGTTGTTCTATGACCCTATCTTTCATCATGTTTTCCACTGTAACTAAGTACCAGCTTCCAATATTGCTGCAGCTAAATCTTTCCAGTCTTGTGGAATAATTCTGTTCTGAGTTTAACATGAATTTAACATCTGCTCTACAAAGGGTGAATGCCTTCCCTATGAAATCACTGCTTCCTTAAATCTCTTCAACTCTAGCATCTCTACAGGATCCAAATTAACTTCTGCATAGCCTTGGGGTACCTATCATCTGGTACGGTCCCTGTATGATAAATGGATAAATTTAAATTAAGGTTGGTTTTCTAGTAACCTTAAGCCATTCCTCTTTAGTTTCATAATGCAATGGAATGGTAGGTTCTGCTCTTAATTCTTCTGTCTGTGTCTAAGTATTTTTCTTATTTTCATTAGTAGATCTTTTTAAGGCTTATATTTTATCAATAGTAGGTCTTTCTAAGGCTTGTATCTTATCAACAGGAAGTCCTTCTAAGATTTGTATCTTATCTGTTGAATTTTTATTACTTCCATTAGTAAGTTTTTCTAAGGTTTGTATCTTATCAATACTAAGTCTTTCTTTCTTTCTTTCTTTCTTTCTTTCTTTCTTTCTTTCTTTCTTTCTTTCTTTCTTTCTTTCTTTCTTTTTTTTTTTAACTTTTCCAGACAGGGTTTCTCTGTGTAGCTTTGGAGCCTATCCTGGCACTCCCTCTGGAGACCAGGCTGGCCTTGAACTCACAGAGATCTGCCTGCCTCTGCCTCCCGAGTGCTAGGATTAAAGGCGTGTGCCACCAACGCTCGGCTTAAGTCTTTCTTTTTAAAATAATTTATTTAACTTTATTTTATGTGTATTGGGTGTGAAGGTGTCAGATCCCCTAGAACTGGAGTTACAGACAGCTGTGAGCAGCTATGTGGTTGCTGGGAATTGAACCTGGGTCCTCTGGAAGAACAGCCAGAGCTGTCTTTTTTTTTTTAAGATTTTATTTATTTATTATGTATACAACATTCTGCTTCCATGTATATCTACACACCAGAGAAGGGCACCAGATCTCATAACAGATAATTGTGAGCCACCATGTGGTTGCTGGGAATTGAACTTAGGACCTCTGGAAGAGCAGTCGGTGCTCTTAACCTCTGAGCCATCTCTCCAGCCCAATACTAAGTCTTTCTAAGGTTTGTGTATTTTATCAGTCAAATTTTCATATTTGGCACAGTTACCAAACCACTTTGCTAAGGATAAAATACGAATTACCAAACTGATAGTAATTACAATCAGCATTATTTCAACCCAGCAAATGGTTTATCTCATTTATTTTTTCCATTTGCAAGCCATCTGCAGTAGCACTATACAGAGTCCTAACTCCCTACATTGTGATATTGCCAATTCTTAACATGGGAAAGAGTTTTCTTTTTAATATTATTTCGTTCTTTCCTTAAGGACTTCCCAAGTATCTCACCAAATTTGCTGACTTTTCAGTTTTTCTGTAGCAACAGCACCACCAGGGAAAGGCTCAAGCCCCTCATGCAATTTCCAAGCACAGGTCCACTTTCTGGAGTCCTGTGAATGGCTCTCAGGGAGACCAAGTGGCGACTGTGGTGGTGCCAACTGGCATGACTTATCTCTGTAGTCATGCCATGCACTAGAACACCAAATGTATTTTTTCCATCAGCTTAGAGGCTGCACATGAATCTACTGATATTTTAATTATTATCTGTAGCCCCACAGCCCAGCAGTCAATGCTCTGTCAGTCACTCAGGCCACAATCTTGCAGGCTTCTGATCCCACAACCTGATTTATGAAGGTCTATGGATGTTTAAATTAAGTCTCTATCAATTCCATTTACCAACAAAGACTTAGAAGTCAGGTATGGGTGGTGAAAACCTGCTAGATCAGAGAAGCTGAGAAACAACCAGCTGACCTTCCTTTATGGCCAGTGACATCACAAGAGATGTGTCTCTTCCCTTATCTCAGAACCAAAAGGAAGATCAAACTCCAGTCCCCACCCTTTCCTTCTTGTACGTCTTCTCTATCCAATGTCTGGCTTCTCTAAGGCTAATTCTAGTCATCTTGTCACTGATTACAACCCTGATTCAAGGTAAACTTTATTGACAGTCTAGTGTGTCACAGTGCAATCAAACTATCCCACAGCAATGGCCCACTGAAGACTCCCCCAACACACACCCACACACACACAAACACACACACACCACACACACACACACACACACACACACACACACACACACACGTTGCAATGTTTGTTCTCCCTTACATGAGTGTCTTAGTCACTGTTCCGTTGCTGTAAAGAGTATGAGTCACACAAAAGAAAGCATTTAATTTGTTTTTTTCAAGACAGGCTTTCTCTGTGTAGCCCTGGCTGTCTTGGAAATCACTCTGTACACCAGGCTGGCCTCAAACTCAGAGATTTGCCTGCCTCTGTCTCCTAAGTACTGGGACTAAAGGATGCACCACCATCACCTGGCTAAGAGTTCTACTTTTGATCCACAGGCCAAGGCGGGAGACAATGGGCTTGGTATGAGTATTTGAAATCTCAAAGCCCACCCACAATGACATACTTCCTCCACTAATGCCATAACTTCCTAATCCTTCTAATCCTTTAAAATAATTGCACTCTCTGTTGTCTAAGCATTTGAATATATGAACCTGTTGGGGCAATTTTTATTCAAACAACCACATTCCCCTCCCTGGCTCCCATAGGCTTGTAAACATATCATAATGCAAAATGCATTCAATTCAACTTCAAAAGTCCCCATAGTCTATTATAATCTCAACATCGTTAAAAAGTTCAAAATTCAAAGTCTCTGAGACTCATGGAAATTTCTTAACTATAATCCCCTGTAAAATCAAAATAAAAAAGCAGACCACATACTTACAATATACAATGGCACAAAATATACATTAGCATCACAAAAGCAAGGGAAAGGAGCATAGTGAGGAAATACTGAAGCAGAGCAAGACTGAAAACCAGTAGGACAAATTCCAAATTCTGCATCTCCAAGTCTGAAGTGAAACAGTTCTTCAGATCTACAACTCTCTCTTGGGATGGTTCTACACCCAGTCCTCAATTCAGCATCCCATGATACTGGCACCTCCAACATCTTGTGGTCTCTAACACAATCCAAGTTTCATCTTCACATCTTTAAAAAAAGACTACTATGAAGGCATACCCCTGAAACATGTCTGGCCTTAGTGACTTTCCTTAGCTATGGAGGGAGATTCCACAACCCCTTCTTGCAGCACAATAAATAAAAGACCCAGAGACTGATATTGGGCTTCAAGCTTCAGCTGAAGATCAGAAGAGCAAAGCAGTTAGCCACTTGCTCTTACCTCTTTCTCAGCTCAGACCAAAGGGGTGATCCTCAAACTGCTCTTGTCGTTACTGCTCCTCAGATTCACTCAAACTGCTATGCTCTCCTCAATGTGACTAGAGACTAATTCTGAGACTAACTACTGAAGACCCTGCTCCTATCTTTTATACCTCTCTTGTGCTGTGATTAAAGGTGTGAGTTCTGTTATACTTTTACCCTGATTCAATCTCTTATAGCCCTGGGTGGCCTTGAAATCAGACTGATCCATCTGCCTTTGTTTCCTAAATCCTGAGATTAAAGGTGTATGCCTGGCTTCTAAGGCTATTGGGATTAAAGATGTGTATCACCACTGCCTGAGCTCTATAGCTTGAGGCTGGTTTTGCTTTCTGAATCCTCAGGCAAGCTTTAATAAATTATAAATAATATATAACCACACCTTCTTGTATCCTTGACTCTAAATCCAGAAATACATGGCTGTGGCTAAAGCTTCCAAGTTCTGCTGCTTGCTGGGGCTGGAACTTGGCCCCCTTGCTCAATTACACTTGCATCAGTTTTTTGATGTTTATGGTTTCCTTCACAGAGTAAGCTTTAATTCCTTTTTATAAATTGGAAGCTTAGCTGTATGGGGTCTTGCCCTGAGGTCACCACTTTATTCATTTAACATAAGCCTTTTCTTTAAGCTTTTTTTTTTTTTTTAAAAAAAAAAAAAAACTCCTTGAGCACAGGAATTGTCTCCAACATCAACTTTCCTGGTGTTCTTTTTCTCCTCACACTGTATGTTTTACATTTCTCTTTGTTCAACTTGCTCCTTTTCATTACAGATCTGTATAAGAGTTATTACTAGCCAGGTAGAGGTGGCACATTCTTTTAATCCCAGCATTTGGGAGGCAGAGGCAGGAAGATCTCTGTCAGTTCAAGGCCAGCTTGGTCTACAAAGTAAGCTCCAGGATGGCCAGGACTGTTACACAGAGAAACCTTGCCTCAAAAAGAGAAAAAATAAGTGATTACTAATAACCACATTGATACAGTGTCATTACTAGGCTGTCCTAAAATCTCTTCTGCCAATGCCAATAATCCAAAACTCTCCAAGTTAGCCTCAGGCAGACTTTTAGGACAAGAGCAAAAGGCAGCCACATTCTTTACCAAAATATCACAAGAATGATTTCTAGGCCACTTGCTAATAATCTTCCCCTCGAAGCCTGGAGCTCAGCTATTATAATTTTCATTGTTCTCACCACTACTGTATCCCATGCTCCTACTAGAGTGGTCTATTAAACCATGCTTGAAGTGCTCAACCACTTTTCTAGTCCAAAATCTTCCATGTTCATCCAAAAAACAAACAAACAAACAAACAAAAAACCCAGCATGGACAGGCCTACCACACAATACTTCAGTCCCTGTACCAACTTCTGTCTTAGTCACTTGTTCTAGTGCTGTGCAGAGACACAGCACTAGACTAAGGCAAATCTTATATAAGAAAGCATTTACTTGGGGTCTTGCTTAAAGTTTCAGAGATTAGACCATTATTATCATGGTGAGAAGCATGGTGGCACACAGTCAGACATGGAGAAGTAGTTGTAGAGAAGTTTACATCCTGATCCATAGGCCAAGAGAGACACTGGGCTTGGTATGGCATTTTGAAACCTCAAAGCCCACCCCCACTACATACTTTCCTCAACAAGGCCACACTTCTTAATCTTTCTAAGTCTTTTCAATAATGCCACTTCCTGGTAAGTAAGCTTCAAATATGTAAGCTTATTAGGGTCATTTTATTCAAACCACTACAGTGCAATAGATGTCAATGAGCTGTAAACCCTTCAACACATGGTCTTCTCCTCTAGGAGTCCAGGTGAAGAACAAACAGTATCAACAATACTCTAGGACCAATAGGGAAGGGAAGAAAATCAGAATCTAATGAGAGCAATGATAATTACAGATTCCGAAATAATAGCTTACCCCAAGGAGTGCCGAAGTCCTCTCTATTTCTTCTTTGTCAACTGGAATCTTATGGTTTTCCATCACTGTGAGTCAAAATAAGAGGCAGACCATATTTTCATTGCATTAATCAATCCTTTTCAGTAGACTGAAGAGGCCCCCTCTCTGATGACCTAATGATAGCAATGCTCATTTACTTAGGTCCCACTCTAAGTCAATCTCTGTTCTGTGAGGAAACAGAAGCATTGAAAGAACTGGCCTGTTGGGGATACAGTCTAATGACAGAGTGCTTGCCCAGCACAAGCCAGATCTTGGGTTCAGTCCTGAGGTGGGAAGGATGTGGAACTGCACTGGTTCCAGCCTGGCTCTTTGCATATTCTGGATATAGAGTCACTGCTGGCCCTGCAGCAGGACCTGGTCAGAGGCAAAAATGGGCAAAATCCCTGGAGGGTTCTTAAATAGTCTCAAGTGGTAAGAGAAAGCAGCGCAGAAATGGAGGATTAGCCTGAAATTGAGATAACACATGGGTCTCCATGGGTACATGCAGGCCTTCAAGTCCTTCCAGACCGGAAGGTGATGTAGCCCAAACCCCTTTGCTGCAGAAGAGGAAATAATGTGATAGCAACCTCTTTGGATGAAATACAGTAACCACTCCATTATAGGCTAGAGAAGATTCATTCCTAAACAATGTAAAGATTCTCCAGAAAGATGACTATATTTTGTTTTTATGGTAACTCACCTGCCAAAATTGGTATCAAAGGAAGCTCCAAAGTACAAAATAGTTGCCATAAGCCATAAGCCTGTTTCACAGAAGAAATAATATCAATATGATTTTTAATTATTATCTGCATTTTGTTGAAAAGCTATTTGACTTTGTTGTGTTAAGATTAAAGTGCCCCCTGTCCAAAACGGTTCTTCCTACTATCTTCATTTTTTTTAAATATTTATTTCATGTGCCTTGGTGCTTTGCCTGCGTGAGGTCTGTGTGAGAGTGCTGAATTCCATGGAATTGGAGATACAGGCAGTTGTGAGCCACCATGTGGGTGCTGGGAACTGAACCCCAAGTCCTCTAGAAGAACAGCCAGTGTTCTTAACACCTAAGCCACCACTCTAGCCCCTTCATTATTTTTAATAAAACTCTTATTTCTATTACAAAGAATATTTTATTACTATCTGAATATCTGGTATAGATATTCTGAACTTTAACAAGATCTTTGCTCTCTCACTTTGAGGACTATTGCATGGTTTTAGCCTTCTATTTTAACTACAGAATGGTTCACTGAATTACAATCATTTTACCTAGTCATTATCAATCTTGCATTGGCTCTGCAGACTAATCAGGAGTGTTAGAATCTTTATATGGCTACCTGTTTTAAGAGCATGAAATCCTTCCTCTTTTATTCATATCACCTTCCATGTTATTTCTAGCCCAGTCTGGACTCAAACTATCTATGTAGATGGGCTGCCCTAGAACTTCTTCCTGTCTACAATTCCTAAATCCTGGGATTACAGGCCATGTCCATCACACCAGATTTTCTATGATGTTTATTGGAGTTTTCCTTATATTCACTCTTTTCTGCTGTCATCTAAGAGTTCTGGGCCTTACCATCTAGTTTCTCTTAATTTCTCTGTCTCTCCCTGTACCCTAAGGTAGACAGATCCTCTCCAGGACACATCACCTGTTTGGGCATATGCCCTAGGGCAGGAGAAGAAAGAGGCAGCTTGCATTAGAGAGCAGGAATGGAAAAGCCTCCAGCTATAGCCTATCCTTAGAAGCATCTCATTTTGCCAATTTCCTTCACCTTTGCCTCAGGACATAGTCTCTTTTCCTTCAGTTCTCCTCAGTTGTTCCTTCACTGGCTGCAGCTTCCTAATAAAAATCTAAGTGAAACAAGTTGGGTCCATTTTGTTGCAAACCAAAGTAAACCCTTGGCATCAGAAACATACTAGTTAATTGTGAGGCTTTGAAACAATTGTTTTCAATACCAGAACACATTTTTTGTTGTTGTTGTTTTTTTTTTTCCAGACAGGATTTCTCTGTATTGCTTTGGAGGTTGTCCTGGTACTCACTCTGTAGACCAGGCTGGCCTTGAATTCACATAGATCCATTCGTTTGTCTCTGCCTCCTGGGTGCTGGGATTAAAGGCATGTGCCACCAATACCCGGCCCACAGAATACATTTTAAACCTGCAGGAATTATCATTTTAATCTTTCCTTTTCTGAGTGAGTCACAGATTAATTTGACCTTAGGAAAACATCTCACTTCATTATCAAAACACTAAGTGTGAATATGAGTGTGGGTACAAATGAAAATACAGGCCCTATATAGCCATAAATTACAGTATAAAAATTGCCTTGCCTTCAACTTGGAACAGAGATCCATCGTGAGGTCGTAGAGTATCCTCAGGTTCAAACACACATTCTGATTCTTTAAAATGAATACATTAAAATTCAGATGAACTTGACAGCAATTCTCACAGTAGTCTAGGAACTGATATCACTTACAAAGTGTTTCTAGTGACATGGTAAGATGCTCCTGACAAAGTCCCTAACAAAAAGCACCTCCATTGTGCAAGCTGGGCTGTCCACAGGGAGGCACTTCCTCAGCCCAGCATTTTCCCTTCATTTTACAGATAGAAAAATGAAGCACTCACTGCCTGTTTCAGTGATTAAATGATTGGCAGAGCAAGAACAAGGATTCTCAGATCCCACAACCTCTCCTCTCTGATCTGTCACACAGCAACAACTAGATGGGTGCTACATTCCACACTAACATATTAACACTCTAGGACAGGTAAATGGAAAAGCCCAGAGAAGCCACAAACATGTTCAAAGGACAGAGAGGGGAGATGGAGTAAAAGGCAGCCCCTCAACACAGTCTGTGTCCTTCCTAACAAAGATCTTTAAGACTTTCTACTCAACATTTTACTCTGCCAAAGAACCCCAAACTCTGGACTGCTCAGATTCATCTCTGCTGAATCCTCACATTAGAAGAAACTCAAAGTATGTGGTTGCTGGTTGGATATATTCTAACATACTTCTTTAGTCATTTCTTGATCTTCACATCTATGCCACCACCTAGAACAACTCCACAGAGTTTCCTGAAGCTTTCTCAACTCCAAAGTGATCACAAGCTTCCACTTAGAACCATTCTGGGACTGGCTTGTTCCTTGGCATGACACAGCCCCTGAGAGCCCTGCATGAACCTGGATCCCAAAGTCCCTGTCTCCTTCCCACATGGCCCTGTTGTCCCCTCTAAGGAGCTAATTTTCTGGGAGGCCTTGCCATTCCCATGCTGTTCCTTCTATCTGAGCTCCCTTCCATTATGAGTAACTCAGGTCACCTCTTCAGAGTAGTACAGAAGCAGATCCTATAGATTAAAGGCCCAACTTCCATCTCTAATTCTCATGCATTGTGGGGTTCTCCACAGCCACATCTCACCAACAACCATGATTGGAATTGCACTTGAAGCTGCCTTTGATGCTCATGGGGCAAGACAAAGGAGCCTCAGGAACAGAAAACAGAGATCCGGAGCTGGCTCACCAGCATCACTAAGCATCTGCTCCAGCCTACATTAGAGGAGCACACCCTCTATAGCTGATTTTTATTCCATGCAGCCATCTTATCCATGAATCATATGTGGGAATGGTAAGAAGAAACTAGACTTAAAGTCATAAATCCAAACTGAACTATGGTATCAACTATACCTTAGGCAAGATGAGTGAACAGTAGTAGCATGTGCACATCTAGTATACCCATCTGTGAAGTGGGACTGATAATACTCGAGTGGACAATTTCTTGCAGTCATATTTCAGCTTCAGTTTGGGGAATCTTTGCCTAGCAGAGTAGGATTCTAATCACTAGTAAGGGAAGAGGGACAATTTACAAATGCTAAAACTGAATCTTGGCTCCTACACTGCCACTCTGCCCAGGCTGCCAGGGCCACAGATTCCCATTCTTGCAAGAATTGTATCTTCTTTGATTCTGTAATCTATTTTGTGACCTTCTGATATACCTCTTTTTAAATTCAAGGATACAGTGTTTCTGTTATTTACAGTCTATTCCTATGGGACACAGACTCTTGTCTACACATGCTAGTTAAGAGGATGAAGGGCAGGAAGTGCGGGCTCTCATGTCTCCTGCTGTGCCTTTGGCCATCTGAATGTTCACCTGCAGTATTCCACCATGTGGTTGAGTAGAGGGTTCTATCTGTGACCACACCCCTACACCTCTCCTTCAGGGGCATCCCCCAGAATAAGAGGGCTTGGAGAAACTCAGCTTGTCCTTTCTACCTAGACTGAGGTCACAGGAAGTCAGCCAACAAGAACATGTCACCAGTGCTAAAGATTTACAAAAGGACAGTTCTCTGCTCACAGAGGAGGTGCTACTGACACTGGAGATTCCATAGAATTACACTGTAAATGAGACTTTCCAGGATATCGTTCAACTTTATTCATTGACCTCTACCAGAAATACCTCAGCCAAAAGGATTTGGATGGAACAATGAAATGAAAATGGGTGTTAGTAATAATCTTGTTACTATTAGATTATCTACGAAGCAGAAAAAGTCAGGGTTGTATTAAAGAAGATAGAACCTCATCTTAAACATCTTACCACAATATTTCCTGAAGTATCACCAAATGTGCTGCTTGGTTTGACTATGATGGACTTTTCTAGGTGTTTTGCTACTAAATCTTCAAATGAAGGTGCAGTGTCACTAGGATCTATTAGCCATGCAGCAACTCTGGGATCTAGTCCTACAAAACCTGCAACTACAGAGGAAAAGATTACTTAGTATTTCCTCAAATTACAAGCAATTGTTGCTTTTCCTATCTTTACACTAAGCAGAGTGTTTTCCAAATATGAAACACAAATGACTGATAAACACTTAAAAATGTTCAACATCCTTAGCGATTAGGGAAATGCAAATTAAAACTACTTTGAGATTTCATCTTATTCCAGTCAGAACGCACAACATCAATAAAACAAATGAGGTCATATGCTGCCAAGGATGCCAGCAGAGGAGAACACTTAATCATTGCTGTAGGAATACAAATTGGAACAGCCACTATGGAAATTAGTATGATGTTTCCCCAGGAAGCTGGGAATAGATCTACCTAAAGATCCAGCTATGCCATTCTTGGGCATATATCCAAAGGACTCTTATATTTTACTACAGAGATTCTTGCTCAATCATGTTCATTGCTGCTCTATTCATAATTTCAAGAAATTGGAAAGAGCCATGATGTCCATCAACTGATAAATGGATAATGAAAATGTGGTATATTTATACAGTGGAATATTATTCAGATGTTAAGAAAAAAATGAATTTTTTTCTGCTGGTAAATGGATGGAGCTAGAGAAAAAAAATCCTGAGTGAGGTAATCCAGACCCAAAATAAATTACTACATGTTTTCTCTTATATGTGGATAAGCTTTTGATATGTATTCAAAAATTTAAATAACTACAGATGTTTAGGTACCTAGTAAGGAACCAGGGGGATGGAGAGGATCTTCATATATGGGAAAATAGAATATTGTGTTATGGGGAGACAGGGCAAACAAGAATAGAAGGATTAAATGGGAAGGAGGATGAGAGGAAATATGAGAGGGACAACTAACACTAAAGGCCTTTGAAAGCCACAGGAAAACCTACTACTATAGAAACACACACACACACACACACACACACACACACACACACACACACACACACACACACACACACACACACGAGAAACGAATCTAAATGAAATCATACAATGTCCCTACTAGATTTCTTTTTTTTTTCTGAGACAGGGTCTCTCTGTGTAACAGCCCTAGCTATCCTGCAATTTGTTTTGCAAGCAAGGCTGGCCTTCAAGTCATAGAGATCACTCCTGTCTTTGCCTCCCAACTGCTGGGATTAAAGGCATGAGCCACCGTTGCCCAGCCCAACTAGATTTCTTATGCCATCAGGTGAAACTTCTAGTGCCAGGAATGAGTTACACATTTTTGAGTTGTTGGCTAAAGTGATCCCATGGAGCCCCCTCCCCCAACATCACAGGCTATTGCCAAGGGTGTTGATTACTTTCCACAATGAGATAGTAAGACCCTATTGAAGACAACATTTATTTATGTTACTGAATATGGAGAAGTTGAGCTGGTGCCAAACTAGAAGCTTAATCTCTACTGTATTCATGGTACTAGAAAGTACTCTGCACTCTACCAAAGGATAAAGGCAATCATCAATATCACCCAGCTATAAACTCTGTTACCTACAACAGTGACCGGCCTATCAGGGTTTTTTGTTTTGTTTTTTTGGGACAGTTTCTCTCTATGTGGGTTTGGCTATCCTGAAACTCACTCTGTAGACCAGGCTGGCCTTGAACTCACAGAGATCCACTTACCTCTGCCTCCCAAGTGCTGGAATTAAAGGCATGTGCATCATTACTGCCCAACAATCTGCCTATAAGCTCTCCTGGTACAATAGTGGCATAAAAGTTATAAGAGTAACCAACCATTTTTTATTGGATTTAAGGCCCATTCCCTGAGATGGAATCCATACCTGACACTACTAAAGTAACAACAACCTGAAACTAGATAGTCCATGGGCCTAGTGGGAAACCTATTATTCTGCTAAAGGAACATGGTAATAAAATGACTCCCATAACATATTGGTATATCCATAGATCACTGTTTCACTAAACACTAATCAGAGAAGCATCTTCATTCAGCTGGGAATTAACTGAGAGACCCACAATTGGACATCATGCAGAAAGTGAGAGACTCTGGAGCACTTAATCCTAAATGGGACATCTTCATTGGGCCGCGTCCCTACCCTGCCCCAGTCAGGCTCAGGGATCTATGTGTAAGAGTAAGCAGAAAGACTGTCAGTACCAGAGGTGAAGAATGACTCCAAGGAAACTGTGTTACAAATACAATCGAACTTATGCACATATGAATTCACAGAGACTGTAGCAGTATGCATAGGGCCTGCACAGGTTCAATCCAGACAGTTTTTTGACACTGAGAAGGGAAAGCGGACAGAGAGCCCCATTCTAACCAAGAAGCTATCTGTAACTGATATCCGCTGGCAAAGAGTGACTCAGTTTTCTACAATGGAGTGTCACTGGGTATATCAATCACATTCTAGGACAAGACTCATGGGTAGGAGTAGTGGGCCAATAAAAAACAAACTTCATGGATTTTAGGGGACTTTTTGTTTCATTCTGTTTTGCAATTATTTTTATCTTATAGGCTTATTTGTTCTGATTTTCATTTCTGTGTTTTTGTTTTGTTTGAAAGAGAGAGAAAGAACATAAAACTGGGTAAGTAAGGAGATAGGCAAAGATCTGGGAGGGGTTGAGGAGGAGAAACATAATCAAAATATATTATATGAAAAAATCAAATAAAAAGAAATATCCCCAAAAGATTAATATTCTAATGACTAATACTTTGTGCTATCCTCTCAAATTACAGAACTTAGTACCCCTATGACTATTATTTCTCAAGAATTTATTTTTCAAAAAAATATAAGTTAGCATGATAAGTTTTATGCCTTGCAATTAGCAGATAAATAGTTACACTTAACTGCATATAAAATGTGTTAATATCACATATGTTCTAAATAATTACTTGATTATTGTTATAAAGTCTTGATTTAAATGATTTTTTTAGTCATTGTCAAATTTCTGAACAAGTGGCTGTCAGGTCTATCTTACCATGGCAAACAAGACTTTGTGATGACAAGAAAAAAATAATTTCCTTTTTTCTTTTTTGTATGTATCTGCATGTGTGGTCTGTGTGTACGTGTGTGTGTGTGTGTGTGTGTGTGTGTGTGTGTGTGTGTGCGCGCGCGCGCGCGCGCGCATATGCAGGTACATGCATGTAGGAGCCTGCAGTTGATGCCAGGAGTCTTCTTCAGGCATTCTCCATCTTATTTATTGAGGCCAGGTCTCTCAGTTGAACCCATAGTTCCTCAATATAGCTCTCTAGCTAGCCAGCTTGTTCAAGAGATCCTGTCTCCACCCTCTGAATGTACTGGAATGGTAGGCATACCATCACACCTATTTAACATTTACATGGGTACTAGGGATCAGAACTTCAGTCCTCACACTCAAAACAATACCTGCCGAACCATCTCTCCAGCCGTCACCTTGTAGGAAAGTGGATTGATACATCCAGGTCCTACATGGCTGGTTGACATGGACATCACATCAAAGAAATAAAATCTAAACAGCTAAGAAAGGATAAGGAGTCCAAGATCACTTGGAAGATGAATCTCTCAATGAAGTCAGAAACCTCTCCTGACTTGGGCTTTTCAGCCATTGTAGGTGATAGATCTTCTCTTCCACTTTCTCCCTGTCTCCTGTCTCCAAGACTACTCATAATGCTTCATCATGGTCTCAGAATCATGCCTCCTGAGTCAAGGAATAAGGGTAGGAGCTACCTGGATTCACACAGTATCCTATCACTGTGCCAGAGTAAGCAGGAAATGTAGGGCAGACAGAATGGTATTCCCTGACAAAAGATAGTCCCATGAGACAACTAAAAATAAAAAAAGCACTGACCTTTAAATAAAACTATAATCTTGGATCACATCACACCAAATGTCAGATTGTTTGGCATTCTTAAGTTATTATACTAGCCAGAGAGATTTATATTTACCACAGCAGCCAGTGTCAATCCTTCTCCACATTATGGCAAAGACAAATGATGTAGGCATATTTGGAACTTTGGATGCTTGTGCGTCCAGGACAGCAATATTTGACTTCACATGACACTGTCTGGTAACACTCACTGATCTCTTATGTTCCAAAGGTAAGAGTTCTACAGAAAGATCTTTTTGAAAAGACCTTGGGAAATAGGACAGTACCAAATTTTCTAGATTCTGAACCCTGTAAACTTTTGTAATTGAGAAATCCCTAATTTTAGTTTTTTTTTTTTTTTTTTTTTTTTTTTTTTTTTTTTTTTT